AGGCTGTCTGCTGTCGCCAGGGAGAGCCATGTAAGTAAGCCCCCGCCCCCCACGCATCCCCACGCATCCCCACCCCGGCCGGCAGCACGACCCTCGGGGCCGGGGATTGGACGCACACGGGACCGCACAGCCACCCACCCCGAGATCGACTTGGCTCCACTTAGCCCTGACCTGCAAGGCACTGAGAAGCAGCAGCATTCCGCTGCCCGGCCCCTGCCGGCTCTTACTGCGAACCGCCCCTGAGACCCTCTCGGCATCTGGCATCTGTCCCCTCGGTGAAGACCTTTGCTTGTCTGCGTCGTCAACTCGGCCATGGCCGGCGGCTGTCAGGGCGAGCACCGTGGCCGGCGGGAAGGTGGCAGGAGACGGAACCGCTGGACTCTGCCTCGCCCGGCCGTCTAACCGCGAAAGTATCTCTTTATACAGAATACTTACAGATTCTAATATATATTTGTATTTCGTTTTGTTATAGTATTTTTATATGTTCAACATCCGGTGTCTGGTCTGGACCCTCAGATCTAGTGGTCGTGGTCGTGACATTCCGTCCGGGGTTTCTGTAGTCTTCGGGAGAGACTGGCTTAGAGCAGGCCCTAGAAGTTCCTTAGAGTATGTCGCTGTCGTCTGCTGTCTTCCACGTGAACATGACATTGATTCACTAGATTCCGCCTCGCGGGTCTTTCTTCCTCCACGGAGGGTCAGCCTGGGGCCCACCCCCCCAGGGCATGCTGGCTCCAGTGCGCGGGCGCAGAGGCTCTGGCCCTGGAGCTCTGAGCTTCCTAAGTGACGAAGGAGGCCCGTCCCCCATAAGAAGGGGAGGCCTAGGGTCTGGCTGGGTGATGGCTCCCAGGTATCTGTCCATGCCCGTGCGAGGTCTGGCAAGGCTGTCGCCCTTACGGCTTTTCAAGGGTGGGCTCACTGCTCCACTGACCCCTGGGGTGTCTGAGGACAGGCTACACCCACGCCTCACTGACTCAGAGCCCAGAGCCTGGCGCTGCAATGCCCTGCAAGGGTCGTCTGCCTGTCCCCAGGACAGCATGCCAGGGAGCCGTGCAGAAGTGAGGCGAGCACACGGGGGGACAGTGCCATCACCATTTCAGACGGGAACATTGCACGCAGGGGTTCTGCTGGACACAAGCTCTGGGGACCTGGTGAGGCCAGGCCCTGGGCGGCTGCAATCCTCGGGGCGCCTGACTGGCCCTCTGATGCCAGGACGTGGACTGACTTCCCACTGCACAACCCAGTCTTGGCAACGGTCACAGCAGCCGCAGCCACCTTGGAAGTGGGCCGTGATGGTCGCTCCAGTGCCTTCCACAGTTAGGGACTTTTGAGGAACCGTAATGAACCAGGGTCAGGAGAA